GTGGTTCAGTATATTACACTGCCTGTGTATCTGTGTTGCCATTCTGTTCTGTACTACCGTAGAGGTACCTTTGTAGTGTGAACAATTGTTGATTACATTATATTTCTTTGTTTATTGTCATTCTTCTGTGTCTTCTTTATTGTCATGCTTAATATTTTAGTTTCAACTTGGGAATATACAAGTAACAGGTGTCATGCTTTATACGTAAGTCTTCTTTATTGTCATGCTTTATTCGTGAAGACATACTTTATAAGTCATACTATATTACAGAGAGCGCAAGGTGTATCATGCTTTACCAATACAATCTTTTTGTTTCATGCTTCACGGTAAAATCACAGTTGAACACCATGGTTGATCACAGAAAGCTTAGTGTGTGCCATGCGTTATCAGAGATGGTCGATTGAGTTTTATGCATTCACACAGAGCAATATTTGTTTCATCATAGGTCTTTGGCCATTACAGACATGTTGAATATCTTGCCATACGATAACACCTAAATGTGGACAGCACAAATGCCACAGAGCAACAACACAAACAACTCAGTCGTCAAACGTCTCCATGGCGACATCACCAATCTGTTTGAGCAATATTACCAATCACCTCGAGGTACAATATAAACATATCTGGCGGCTACAAAAATCTCCTTAGGTAATAACACAAATCTTCTTGGACGCCAAATGCCATTGAGCATCAACGCAAATCTCATAAGTTAACAAAATCTCCAGGGGATGTACAATAGGAGAAGAAGGGTTGTGTTGGTCGATGTGATGCCCTTTGTGTCCAGTGTATGTAAATGAAGGGAGCTGAATATGGTCGATGCCCTCTCCACGGTGTTCAGGATATATGTGTATTTGTTTGTAGGTGAAAAGAGTTGTGATAATCACTTTCTTTTCTGATGTGATTAGCTTATGTATGTGAAGATGAAGGGAGTTTAACTTGGTAAATGTCCTGTTCGATGTGTTCAGTGCATGTGTTTGTAGAAGAGGGTCTTTAACTTGGTAAATGTCCTGTTCGATGTGTTCAGTGCATGTGTTTGTAGAAGAGGGTCTTTAACTTGGTAAATGTCCTGTTCGATGTGTTCAGTGCATGTGTTTGTAGAAGTTGGGCTTTAACTTGGTAAATGTCCTGTTCGATGTGTTCAGTGCACGTGTTTGTAGAAGAGGGGCTTTAACTTGGTAAATGTCCAGTTCGACGTGTTCAGTGCATGTGTTTGTAGAAGAGGGGCTTTAACTTGATAAATGTCCTGTTCGATGTGTTCAGCTTATGTGTACGTAGACGAGTTTAGACAACTGTTTTGATATTGGGATAACAATATATTGAACAGCTGCTTCAATGTACCCCAATGGTTAATTATAACTCGATCCCCGACTGACAAGGATGATGCCGTTTTGTTTGTAAATACTACCAGGCTTCATATTTGCATATTTATCCGTATAGGACCTCAAAGGACACCGTTTTATCTGTTGGCCTTTGCATGCCCAGAAATCTACCTTTCATGTGATAAAGAAAATAATGAGTGTGAGTGAGTATAAGTTTTACGCCACTTCTAGTAATATTCCAGCAATATCATGGCAGAGGACACGAGAAATTATCACACCCTGTATCAATGTGGAAAATCGAACGCTGGTCTCAGGCCTGACAAGTGAACGCTTTGACCACAGGGCTACCCAAACGACCCTAGGATAAAGAAAGTTATATGAATGATACCTGTCAAATATATCCAGGAAAGCCCATGCGAGTCCAGAATATGTGGCAAGTCTAGACTACCACTGTTTCAGGAAGAAGGTCTCTGGCTCCTTTTTATGACATTGTATTATTATAATGTTCCGTAAAATATGTTCATTTCAGAGACCAGTCTGTCCATGCCTGTGCTTTTGGTCTTGCGTGTATGACCGCGGTCTGTTTAATGCAGGGGAAAGCCCCACAACTACGCCAATTACATGTGATGTGTAGCCGATTAGTCATCAATTACTATGCAGACTGCTGACATCCCCTGGGACACCCGACCTTGGCTAACTACCTTCCCGCTCTGACACATGATAGCCGGAATATCCGTCACCGGTGCCATTACACGCACCTGCCACCTGGGTCTCCAGTTTCCGGTTGCCGTGGTGATTGGTCTCTGAGAGCCTTGGATTCAGACAAGAGAGGATACATTGATAGCTGTAGTATCTGTTACTTGGACACTCTGTGACGACATGAGGGATACAAGAATTTACAAACCGTTTTAATGACGGATATATTGTCTGTGATCTTACTGACCTATTTCCAATAAAAGCAGGGGCTACTACGTAGGCAATAGCTGTTGTTAAAACCATCGATTCCCCACCTTGGTATGGTGTTTGAAGCCAATTGTTGGTGCCTGTTGTTCAATCAAGCGTTTATCTCATAACATTTTCAAGCAAGATAAATTCATTAGACTTAGTTAATTTTTTACAAAGATTTTATGATATTCGTGTATTATCGTATAGCGATTATTGTTTACTATATTCCTTTATTTAACGGTGGCGGTGGGGTAGCCTAGTGGTTAAAACGTTCGCTCGTCACGCCAAGGCCCGGGTTCGATTCCCAACATGGGTACAATGTGTGAAGGCTATTTCTGTCTATTGTCCCCCGAAGTGATATTGCTGGAATATCGCTAAAAACGGCGTAAAACCGTACTCACTCATTCAGTCACTCCTTTAATCAGCAATGATATGTTACGATGCGCCAATTAAACAATGCATGACACATTGTTTTCTCAATGTATAGATATATGCCATTATCACCTGTCCACTGTTGTAGTCACAATGAGACCCGTACATTAACCTGCACGCGTTAATATTTCACGAGCATGTTCAGAAACTTCATCGAAACGATTGAGACGAACAGTCCCACGGGAATAGTCGTTTATGTATCCGGGTAATGATAAAAAGCACGATATTATCCTGCAGTCTGTATGAAATCCCAGTGGTGCCTCTTCGGTATCATATGTTATATTTCTAAACCGAATTTTCTCGTCATTTCAGTTATTTGTTCTTGTTGTTTTGGTGGTGGGTTTTTTAGGTTTTGGGGTTTTGGTCAATTTCGAGTTTTTCTCGTTAATTCCGTTATGTTCTAATTTCGATTATTTGTTTCCTGCATTTCACGTTATTTTTCAAAACTCGAAGTTCGATAACATGTTCGAAAATCATCGAAATAACGAGGTTTAAAATTCAAAATTTCGAGTTTTTAAAAGACATTTGAAAATACAATCTCACTAAAAACAAAATACTCAAAATATCGAGTGAGTGAGTTAAAAGTTATCAAATAATCGAAAATAGTTCAAATAATGGAAATGAGGAGCAATTTCGATTTAAAAAGTAACTGATGGTGCCAAAATGGCATCATTAGGCTTTCGTTAATCGGAGCCTGCCTTCTTTGCAAGAGCTTCAGACCCCAATAATACATAAATGAAAGGAAATAAACACTCAGCTAAAGTGGCACTGCTCGACAACGGCCTGATTAACTGAAGTTGTGTTTCCTATATTTAAGACGTATCACTGCCAGGCCCTGTAATTACTGTGATACAATCTAGCTATATTAAAAACTGGGTCTCATATACCATGCATTAGGCCAACTGCGCGGATGCAGAGCTGAACAATACTCTGAAAGTTACATAATTCACTGTATTGATTATATACTTCCCACCTGTGACAGCCGATCTTTTATATCATTTGCAATATAAACAGTGCTACATCACTTCCCATTGGTCCCCTTAAAATGTGTTGTCCTGGTTCGTTCAAGTGTATACCGCCCTCATTTACAGGTAAACATTGAACAATGCTCGGCATATATTACCCGACTGACTTACACTGAGTTAATTCACGCGTGCTAGTTGCCAAACAACTGTCATTATGTTGAAGTATCGCGCATTCCGACGTCTATACATCACTAAAGCTTTGTGCAATCATTCGTTATTGTTCCGCTTAATAGAGTTATCACATATTTCAGGGCTCTCAGATTTATAAACAAAATCTTTTCTCAGTCACCTGAACTGCTAAAACAGAGAGCGTTTAGCAACATGACACCGTTTCTGCATCGGTTAATGTATATTTTATAGTTGCGAATGCGAAGTAAACAAAAATGAGAAAATAATTTGAATATAAACCGTGATGTTTTGATATTTACAATAATCAGAATACTCAGTAATAACGTAATTGGATGCATTACTCGGTGTTGCCAGCTAATCAAGCCGGCATCGATATGGCAACGGTGAAAGACATTAAAAAGTAACATCATCAGGATATCTCTGATTTCATTGATTTAATACAAGTGGTAAGATTTGTTGAGACAAGCTATGTTTTATTCATGTATCCTCAAAGCTTTTCCAGCTCAATCATATTTTTTTCCGGTGCACATACATATTTTTTCTCCCTCCTCCCTATACACACATCAATTACAGTGTCCACCAAGGACAATGCTTTTTTCCGACTAATCTGCTGTTTTCGGCGATATCGAGTCCCACCGTGCATGTGAAGTCTGGCTTCCTATTATCTTCCCTCCTCTCAGACAAGCATCACTCCGGCCATGTTAGTGTTGTACTCTACAAAGATTTTGGTGAATTACTATTTGATTACGTGGTTTGGGTTAAAAAAGATGCTGATAAGGTTTATAATTAGAGATAACGGGTCTGATCTTCAGAGCAAAAGCTGAAAAGAGTAATCGGTTTCTAATGAGTCCCCATATTCACTTTTTCGCTATTTTCTTCAACAATTACGTCTTCGCATCAAGTCTCTTGTATTCAGAGGGCTGACTTCCCACCATGGTAATGTAGAGTATCTGAATTGCATCTTAACGTTCTATTGTATTTAATCTGTTGTTCAATACTTCGCTTGATGATCGATCATAAGAGTCATTAGCACTGTATAACAATAATCTAACGTAACAGCTTAAAGCGTGATTCACACACCCAACAGCTGTTGGATCGATCGTCAAAACGGAGAAGGCAGCGCGAGTTAGAATAGAATTGCTCCCTCGGACAAAGGTTGGCATCGGGAAATGGTGGTGTCGAAAGCAAGTAGCGTTGTTGTGAGCTTCTGAGGACCACATGCTGTAGCAGACGACACTCAGGCTCGGCAGCAGACGACTCAAACAAGTTGGAGGGAAGAATTATTGGAGACTGGTTGGACGTTCGAAGATCGGAGGCTTGAGAGCAAACATATCGAGGCAAATTGAATGAAGCTTGGCCGAGCTCGTCCAATTATGACCCGCGATAAGTAGATCTATCTGAGGGAACTCAAATATTGTCCTGTTCAGCTGTATCGCGACATGCGGCGCTGCAGAGATTGAATGAATACCAAACTAAAAGTTCTCATAGCAGTTACAGAGTTTGACCGGAGGTTTTGTTCACAGGAGGAGAGGATGTTACGTCAAAAGTCTGATTGTTTTGTTCGTGGTGTAGATATGGATTGAAGCCAGAGGCTTTGGAATCAGGAACTATCTGCGAGTGAGAGTCTACCTGAGCCTGTACGAGAGGTTCCCGCCATGTGTGTTTGTCGTCTGCTCAAGACTGAAAGAAGCGGCAGACGAGAGGGTTGTACAAACAGAAGAGAGTGAGAATAGTTGGCTATTCACTTGTCGCATGGAAGTATTACATGTGTTGTAAATCCTTTCGTGTCATCATTCGCCGTTTTTTGTAGTAATTTATCGTAGATAAACAACTTCAACACACCATAACGAGTTGTTCACAGTTAAAATTCACGAAGGTAAAGAGAAGAGATTGACTGGAACCCAGTTCTTATATTCGCGCAGAACAGTCCGGGGAGGGTTTCAGCAGAGTTTGACAACCCCAGACTTGGAATCCATTTCATTTTTTGCATTTCAAAAGTAAAACTTGCTGCTTTGAACTTCAGTCTGCTACCTCCGCTCCACAGGGAAAGGCGTCACTTCAACCAAGCCAACACGTATGTATAATCATGATTTTGACATATGTCTTACAAACTTTCGAACTGTTTTAAAATTTAAAGACAAATGCTTATTCACTTCGCCAGTAAGATCACTTCCTCATTTAATGCTTGAACCAAATTGAAACGGTGGAACATATTTGACGTAGAATTGGTTTCAGCGTGTGTACTCATTTTCCCTGCAGCCAGCTGAGGATATATTGATGTATCATCTTCATCTTTCTTCATCAGAACAGCATCTCGTAATATCATCTGAGGAAAATTACTTCTTGAGGGGAGATCAGGGAGGGTGAAAAGACTGTATTGATGGGAACAGTAATTTGACAGATGCTTCTAAGCTGATGTCAACAAATTGACAAATAACGTTCACGGGCTTGAAAAACCAGGATACGTGTGCCGGAGTGGGGGATACTAGGGGCATGCCAATTTGTAGCACGGACCAAATGGGTATGAGAAAGCTCAATTGATCCGACTTTTGTGACAGTCTGTCAACAACATCTCGATAAGTTCATTTTTCAGTGTCAAATAAAACCGTATCTGGAAATAAAGCGCGAATGACTACAAGAGAATTTGTGAAATCGGGAAATTGCATTTGAACTTCAATAACAGGTTTTGAGAAATGCTTGAAATTAGGTTCAGTTTTAATATAACTCCCTGATCAATGTTCTCAGCAGTGTTATCGCCCTTAGTGAGAGTTTTCCTCTGTTACAGCACCCATGAGCAGCAGAATTCTTCTTTCTTGGCAACAAACGGAGCTAATTAATTGAAAGGAAAAAATAAATTTCAAGTTGTGAGTAAAACTGTCTATTTGAAGATTAGGACTGATGAAGCAATGAAGAACGTTCCGTATCCGGCATCTTCAAAGTTGACGGAACATTAAAAGAAACCCAAGGAACCATTCCAGTAAAGGCCTCGTCTACTACAAGAGGGCGGAGAAATCAATCCATTGGAATCATTCCTTCGATGTCTTCCCGATCCTACGCCGGGAGGATGCCAGGCCAGTACTCCCATGTCCACAATGGTCAGCCGGTGGCCAGGAACTATCGACAACTACGGCTGTGTGAGGTAGCCAACATGGTGATGAAGGCCGAGATTAAGACCATAGAGTTCTGGAGAGCCGTCATCTCGGAATGTTTAGGGTCTATGTTCTATGTTCTGCTTGGGTGCAGCGCCACGTTGTTTTGTGAGAATTTTAGAGACTATAGATACGATATATTGCTGGTGTCGTTTTCATTCGGATTTACAATGGCGACTCTTGTCCAGTGTTTTGGACATATATCAGGTGCCCACTTCAATCCAGTCGTCAGCCTTGCCATGACGATTACGTGCAAAGTGACCCCCTTGAGGGGAATATTGTACTGTATTGCCCAGTGTGGGGGAGGAATAGCAGGGGCGGCCGTGTTATATGGGTAAGTACCACCTAATTGTGTTATAAACATGCATATTGCATTAATAGTAGAAGATTATCATGTCTGTCTACTGACATGAGAACTTGCCTATCTTTGGAGAGTTTCAAAGCCCATTTGAAGACACATCTCTTTAAAAAAAGTATCCAGATTTCATCTTTGCCATGTTCAGCGCTTTGAGCATATGACTTATCGAGAAGGCGCTATAGAAATGCTCATTAGTTAATATCGTGTTTTTATGCTTTCATTTACATACAAGACCCACATATCATAGTTTACATCTTTGCAAACATAATAAACCCTCTTTATCTCATGTTTTTCAGTGATGTATATGTCAGAAAAACAACATTCGGTTTGTAGAAAGGGTTACCAGAACTAGCCCATAATAAAAGTCATTTTTATCGACCAACGCTAACACTTTCTAAATCATTGGGATTAGATCAAATCGTTCTTTTTGTCGTTACTGAATTCAACAGCTATTTGAAATCTCTAGCTAATTGTCCAGGACTCCAGACACTGCTTCAACAGTATCGTGAATGAAAGTTGATTTTCTGATTATATATTTGGAGTTAACCGTCTGACGGAGTAACAGTGTAGTTCTGTTCAGGACATTACTATTTTATATATTATCGATCTCTGTACCACGCGTGCTACAGGTGTGGTATAACGTGCATTAGGTAGGGCTATGTAGTCGAGTCTTCTAAAGGGAGTAGTCTTTTGTGTAGTGGTTTCAGTACAGTATTAGATAGGTGTAGTTCAATATAATTATATGTACCAAGAACACGAGTAATCGTGAGACTAGGTCAGGAAACATTCTTTTGATGTCTCTATTGATTTTTGTATAGCGTGTCGAAAAGCAGGAAGTTCAAGCTTGAGAACCTACTTCAGCTTATTATTACCAGACATGTAAGGGACTGTGTCCGAAGCCCTTTACTATTTGTCGGTCTGTTATTTGAAAATTGGGACCGAGTACATGCAATTAAGGAAAAGAAATCCGCTTTCGCCAGTTTGTTGTATCAGCGTTATCACGATGCACTCTCGATTTCATTGTTTTTTGTTTATTGTTTAACGCACCAGTTAGCAATATTCAAGCTTTATAGGCGATGTGTATGAAATCGGATCTGAATCTGCCAATCCAGTGATCGATCTACGCAATGCAGATGCTATTTCCTCTCTCTAGTGATACAGCATCTGTACCTAAATTTGTCACTGAAAGAATTAAAAAGGCTGAAATCCTGTCTTCTCATACAACATTTAACATGTTTGATTCGTGTAACGTTTAAACTTACGATCAATAACATAAGCTAGACAGGCTCATAGAAAGATTCACAAGGCCTTGCCTTCCTAGTTATTGATACCATTGAAAGATGAGTCAGGGGTGTATTCCCGCTTTGTCAATATGACCGAGTACAACATTACGTTCAGGATTGTCAATGAATCTAACCGTGTCATATCTGTAACAGCAAGGGGAATGTTACATCAACAAGTATAAATTGGCTGTTGTAATGAGCTATGAGAGTCGACACACTGCTCGGCTAACTGAAGGATGCTTGTGTCTATCACTACCCAGTAATTGGATTAATTACAGCACGAATTAACAATCATGTATTGATTTTTGTTCAGATTCAGCGAGTGCTGACATATTGTTTTTCCCTCTTTGTCAAGACTTTAGCAGTAATTGGTCACCTGATAGCCTCGCCTTGGCCATTTTAAAGTCCAACAAGTCCCACGTGTGATGTAGTTGTCGCCTCCATGGCGAGGTTCAAATGTACGCGCTGATGCTCGCGGAGCCTAAACCTGACCGATTTGCACCATCACGATCTCATTGCCTATATCTCACGGAGACAAATGACTGCAGTGGGAGGGTGACAGGACCATGCACGTATATCTGTTAGATACATAGATAACGTAGGCTGGAAAGCTGCCCTGTCCAAGACAATGCGACCAGACGGGTTATTTATGCGGCGTCCGTTATCAGCGAAGGTAATGAGACTGAAGTCGTTAGGCACAGACTTTCAACATACAGAAATATGATTAATCACGAAATTCCTAAAGAGTTCCCTCAGGAGGACTTCATTATAAACTCTCATTTGTTACACGCTGGAATGTGACTACAGGTTTTTATTTACGAGTTAACTTACAACGACGGTGATGATGATGATGATGATGATGATGATGATGATGAAGAAACTGACATACGTTCATGAACCAGTTATGCGGAAGAATTATCTTAAATAAATACAATAATTATCAAATTTAATTAATTAATTAATTCTTGATGGAGAAGAGAATAGTACTCTTGGAGTTTGGAAAACTGAAACGAATATGATGATGATGGTGATGATGATTGATGATGATTATGATGTAGAAGAAGCTGGTTATGTTGAACCAGTTATGTTGAAGACTGTATATTGCTATAGTATTACAATACTAATTATTCATTAATTTTTCTGGCGTTTGAATGACAGACACGATGATGATGATGATGATGATGATGCCGACGATGATGATGGTGATGATCCTGATAGTCAATTAAATACTGTAACAAACAGCAGCCACAAAGTGTGATGTAACGATCGATAGCGAATATCTTGAGAAATAGGATGAACAAAAGACAACGTTCCTGACACACTGTGCATGGTTCCTCCTGGCAAAACTTCAATTTTATAACCAAACTGTGTAATCATTGCGTCTATATAACCTGGAGCACCGTATGAGAGTTGATGGATGAGGCCTCTGAGTTGGGTTATCAGATTTTGCCGTCGTAACCAACTGAGAATGTAAATGGCAGCAATTTCGACAAAATATTGCATAATGTAGGTTGATATATTTGGTCTGATGCCACAATAAATCCCGAATATTCTTCTTAAAATACGACAATCGCAAACTAGTAATGTAAATAGGGGCATTACTTCGAGTTCCCTATCGGCTTGACGACAAAGATAAGGCCATGATGGCTTCGTTTCGTTATTTGAATTCCTATGTAATTGCCAAGTATGCCAAAACTTCACATTTTTCTGTTAATCATAACCAGCCAAGAGGTTCAAATTAATTTGAACAGCTGACTTTTCAGTTGTCTTTTTCAAAACGATTTTTCTCGTCAACAACATATTAATGTTGTCAGCAACTCCCAAGAGAGAGCTGAATTGGCCGTTGGTATGTATGTGTTGTTTTCAAACCGGCGTCTATGTAGGTCGCTTGTGTATGTATTAGCTGAAATGTACAAGTAATTGATTAGATAACAATCCTCGCTTAGTCAGGCGGTGTCGATCAGATGCACGGAACATGTGAAATCTACAACAGTTCGTCACGTGTAAATGTCACGTTTAACTGCACGGTTATAGAGTCAGGTGCTCAGCACGTGAAAGCCGGGCAATACAAAGTACATTAATGAAATTGGCCTTCCGTCGGTTTGTTTCTCACAATTGCAAAACAATGTTCGCTCTAAATAGGGCTCTGGATCACTTGAAATGCAATTCGGGTCAAATTAAGTGCCAGATGTCCTTTGTACGGGTTTGTGTCATTTAAAACTAGAATGTTCTGCCTAACATATTTTTTTTCTGATAAGTGTTAGAAATGGAGTGTTTTCAACACCGGGAACGTAACTGGTTTATAATACATACTCACTGTATTGACGGTCACAGAGAATGATTTAAGTACGTCGAAATGCACTTGATTGTATACACATCGATTAGTTCACGCTGGAGACTCGTTGTGCGATACTCGGTGGAAAGATTTGCGTGATGGTGTGAACACATTTTCTGTGCTTGAGCCGATTAGCGACGGGCTGCATCTATTGGGCTCACTTCCGAGGCACCGCTATTCCATTAGGGATGTATCTTAATTGATATAAACTGATATTTTAGCACCTTAACGTATATACAGCAGTTGTGCAGTATATCAGAAGCTTAACTGGAATGCATCGGTAGTTTCCGAGTGATTTACGATATCTAATTCTTCAAGTTTGTTGAGTCAGTCCCGGCGGGTGTAAATTTGCTTTATGTGCGCGTGTGTGCGTATGCGCGTGTGCGTGTGTGCGTGTGTGCGTGTGTCTTAGTAGTAGCAGCAGTTGTAGCAGTAAAGCAAGATTTTATGTAATGTTTGGTTATAATATTTACGACACACTCAACAGTATCCCAGCCATATCACACGGCTCTCTGACTACTTTATCTGAAGGCCCACAATAGCTTATAATAATAATAATAATAATAATAATAATAAAAATAAAGTTAGTATTTATATAGCGCCTTTTCCAACAACTTTGCTCAGAGGCGCTTAGGCAAAGGCACTGTCAAAAAAGTGAGTTTCTTAAAAATCTTATAACTACATATTGTCACGCTGAGCCTCAGTATAATCGCCTAACAGTCTATAACACCTTATAACCACATTTGTCATACTTATTTGCCAGGTATTAATCTCAGCGTCTATAACATCTAATTGCATTGTCATACTGATCAACAAGTATTAATCTCAGCATCTATAACAGCTTTTAACGATATGGTCTTATACTGATCAACAGGGTATTAATCTCAGCGTCTACAACAGCTTATGACGATATGGTCCTATACTGATCAACAAGGTATTAATCTCAGCGTCTATAACAGCTTATGACGATATAGTCCTATACTGATCAACAGGGTATGAATCTCAGCGTCTACAACACCTATATTCTAAAGCGATATATCGTCAGACTGATCAACAGGGTATTAATCTCAGCGTCTACAACACCCTAAAGCGATATATCGTCAGACTGATCAACAGGGTATTAATCTCAGCGTCTACAACACCCTAAAGCGATATATCGTTAGACTGATCAACAGGGTATTAATCTCAGCGTCTACAACACCCTAAAGCGATATATCGTCAGACTGATCAACAGGGTATTAATCTCAGCGTCTACAACACCCTAAAGCGATATATCGTCAGACTGATCAACAGGGTATTAATCTCAGCATCTACAACACCCTAAAGCGATATATCGTCAGACTGATCAACAGGGTATT